AAAATCCCTAAAAATCACAACCCCCTCCAAAGAAAATCCCCTAAAATTCACCAAAAATCCCCCCAAAAATCACCCTAAAAATCCCCCAAAAAATCCTAAAATATCCCCAGAAATCAATAAAAATCCCCCTACAAAAAACCCCCAAAAAAACAAAACAAAAAATCCCCCCAAAATCCCTAAAAATAAAAAAATCCTTAAAAATACCCCCAAAAATCCCCAAAACCACCAAAAAAATCATAATAAAATCCCAAAAATCCCCATTAAAAAACTCCCAAAAAATCCTAGAAAATCCCCCAAAAAATCCCTAAAATCCCCCCAAAAATCCCCAAAACCACCCAAAATTAAAATAAAATTTAAAAAAAAAAAAATCCCCCAAAAATTCTCAAAAAAAATTCCCCAAAAATCCACAAAAAATCCCACAAAAAATCCCTAAAAATTCCCCAAAAATAAAAAAAAAATCCCTAAAAATCCCCCCCAAAAATCCCAAAAAATCCCAAAAAAATCCCCCAAAAATCCCCCAAACCCCAACTCCGGGAATTCCCACCTTGATCATCTCGGGGTCGGCCTCGGTCTCCCCCGTCAGGAGGTTTTTGGTTTTCTGGAATCGCCGCCGTTTGTATTTGTTGATCACTGGGGAGAAAAAAAAAAGAGGGGAAAAAATGGGAAAAATTCAAATTTTCAGCGGGGAAAATTGGGAATTCCCAAAAAAATCCCGGATTTGCCGCTGGGGTTTGGGATCCTGGGGGAGGAAAATGGAAATGGAGCAGATGAAGTATTTTGATTTTTGGGTTTTTTTTTTAAATGATTTTTTTAGGATTTTTTGGGGGAAATTTTTTGGGGATTTTTGGGGATCCTGGGGGAGGAAAAATGGGAAGAGAGCAGGGAAAAATTTGGGAAAATTTGGGAATTTCGTCCCATAAAATTTAAAGAAATGTGGGGGAATTCCCACTGCAAAAGTTGGGATTCCCCCCAAATTCCCGAATTTTCAAAGGGATTTTTGCCCCTCGATCCCACAACTCCCAAGGATGGAAAAGCAGGAGGGAACCTGGAGCGTTCCTGGGAAAATTCCCCCCCTTTGGGATTTGGATTTTTTGGGAATTCTGGGGCTCATCCCCATCCCAAGGGATTTAGGATCAGGAGAGGAAATTCCAGCTGGGAATGGGGCTGAGCCCTGTGGACTAGGGGCTGGAAAATCAGGAATTATCAGGAATTCCCTGGAATTTCCAGGATTTGGGGCCATTCCCGAGAGATCTGGATCTCAAAAACTGGGAATTCCTGGGAATTCCCCCATTCCCGAGGGATTTGGGGCCATTCCTGGGAGATTTGAGACCATTCCCAGGGGATTTAGGGGCATTCCCATGGGAATTTGGATCCCAAATGTTGGAAATTCCCAGAAATTGTTGGAAATTCCCGGGATTTCCCAGGAATTCCAGGAATTCCGTACTCCTGGAGCTGTGCATGGCAGCCAGAGCCGATCCCAACCCCATTCCTGAGGGGTTTGGGGCCGTTCCTGAGGGAAATTTGGGCCATTCCTGGGGGATTTGGATCCCAAAGGTTGGGAATGGCTGGGAATTCCCAGGTATTCCCGGAATTCCGTACTCCTGGAGGCGTGCACGGTGGCCAGGCCTGGTAGAGGCTCCTGGGGCCGATCCCAACCCCATTCCTGGAATCGCCGCCGTTTGTATTTGTTGATCACTGGGGGAAAAATGGAATTTAAAACCCAAAAACCGGGAATTCCCCCATTCCCAAGGGATTTGGAACCCAAAAATTGGGAATTCCCCCATTCCCAAGGGATTTGGAACCCAAAAACTGGGAATTCCTGGGAATTCCCCAATTCCCGAGGGATTTGGGGCCATTCCTGGCAGATTTGAGACCATTCCCAGGGGATTTAGGGGCATTCCCACGGGGATTTGGATCCCAAATGTTGGAAATTCCCGGGAAATTGTTGGAAATTCCCGGGATTTCCCAGGAATTCCAGGAATTCCGTACTCCTGGAGCTGTGCATGGCAGCCAGAGCCGATCCCAACCCCATTCCTGAGGGGTTTGGGGCCGTTCCTGAGGGAAATTTGGGCCATTCCTGGGGGATTTGGATCCCAAAGGTTGGGAATGGCTGGGAATTCCCAGGTATTCCCGGAATTCCGTACTCCTGGAGGCGTGCACGGTGGCCAGGCCTGGTAGAGGCTCCTGGGGCCGATCCCAACCCCATTCCTGAGGGGTTTGGGGCCGTTCCTGAGGGAAACTGGGGCCATTCCTGAGGGAAATTTGGGCCATTCCTGGGGAATTTGGATTCCAAAGGTTGGGAATGGCTGGGAATTGTTGGGAATTCCGTACTCCTGGAGCTGTGCATGGCAGCCAGAGCCAATCCCAGCCCCATTCCTGAGGGGTTTGGGGCCATTCCTGGGAGATTTGAGACCATTCCCAGGGGATTTAGGGGCATTCCCATGGGAATTTGGATCCCAAATGTTGGAAATGGATCCCAAAGGTTGGGAATTGTTGGGATTTCCCAGGAATTCCAGGAATTCCAGGAATTCCGTACTCCTGGAGGTGTGCACGGTGGCCAGGCGCCGGTAGAGGCTCCAGGGCCGATCCCAACCCCATTCCTGAGGGGTTTGGGGCCATTCCTGAGGGATTTGGGGCCATTCCTGAGGGGAATTTGGGCCATTCCTGGGGGATTTTGGATCCCAAAGGTTGGGAATTGTTGGGAATTCCCGGAATTCCGTACTCCTGGAGGTGTGCACGGTGGCCAGGCGCCGGTAGAGGCTCTTCTGCCGCGGGTCGGGGTGGAAGCCGCTCTTGGTGAAGTAAACGTGGACGTAGATGGAGCCGTTCCGCTGCACGCTCTGCGGAAATCCGGGAAAAAAAACGGGGAAAAGGTCGGGAAAATCACAGGGAAAATAGTGGGAAAAACATCAAAAAATTGTGGGAAAAACCTCCCGGAACAACTTTGTAAAAGTATTGGAAAAACACCTGGAAAAACCCCGGAAAAACACCTGGAAAACCCCCAGAAAAGCCTTGGAAAAATCCCTGGAAAAACCCCGGAAAAACACCTGGAAAATCCCCAGAAAAGCCCTGGAAAAATCCCTGGGAAAACCCTGGAAAAAAACCAGGAAAAATCCCGGAAAAACCTTGGGAAAAACCCCAGAAAAGCCCTGGAAATCCCCGGGAAAACCCTAGAAAAAAAACAGAACTATCCCTGGAAAAACTCCTGGAAAAAACCCTGGAAGAACCTTGGAGAAGCTCAGGGAAAACCCTGGAAAATCCTTGGGAAAAAAACATGGAAAAAAACCCCAAAAAATCCTGGCCAAATACTGGGAAAACCCTGGAAAATTCTTGGGAAAAAACCCTGGAAAAAACTCTGGAAGAACCCTGAAAAAAACCCAGGAAAACCCTTGGGAAAAACCCTGGAAAAATCCTGCAAAAACTCTGGGAAAACCCTGGAAAAACCTCTGGAAAAACTCCCAAAATCCATGGAAAAATTCTCAGAAAACCCTGGAAAAAAAAAAACCCAGGAAAACTGCAGGAACACCCCTGGATAAACCTCCAAAAATCCTGGGAAACCCCCAGAAAAATCCCCCAAAACCTTGAAAAAATCCCAAAAAAAGACCTGGAAAAACTCTGGGAAAACACCCCAAAAAACAAAAAAAAACAGGAAAAGGATAAAAAAGGGACCCAATCGGGCACAAATTCCAGGTGGGAATCCAGGAAGGGGCGAGGATCCCAAATTCCCACCTGAAATTCCCTCTCCAGATCCCAAATCCCTCAGGAATGGCCCCAAATCCCTCAGGAATTCCCAATTCCCACCTGGAATTTCCTTTTCCCCACCCGAAATTCCCTTTTCCCAACCCCAAATCCCCTTTCCCAACTCCAAATCCCTTGGAAAATCCCAGGATTCCCAATCCCACCTGGAATCCGCTTTTCCAGGTCCCAAATCCCCTTTTCCTCACCCCAAATTCCCTTTCCCGACCCCAAATCCGCATTCCCAGACCCCAAATCCCTTGGGAATATCCCAGAATTCCATTCCCACCTGGAATCCACTTTTCCAGGTTCCAAATTCCCTTTTCCAGGTCCCAAATCCCCATTCCCAGACCCCAAATCCCCTTTTTCCCAACCCCAAATTCCATTTTCCTGACCCCAAATCCCTTGGGAAAATCCCAGAATCCCATTCCCACCTGGAATCTGCTTTTCCAGGTCCCAAATTCCTTTTTCCCCGACCCCAAATCCCCTTTCCCAGACCCCGGAATTTCCAAAATCCCCCGGAATTCCGGGAATTCCCACCTGGGAGATGTCCACCTCCCCGAAGTGCTCGTAGCATCCATCAGAATTCCCTTTTCCTGACCCCAAATCCCCATTCCCAGACCCCAAATTCCCATTCCCAGACCCCAAATCCCCTTTTTCCGACCCCAAATCCCCATTCCCAGCCCCCAGAATTCCCCAAATCCCCCGGAATTCC